CGAAGTGACATCTTGGACAGACTGAATGGCGTAGTTGGCCAAGTTGAAGCGCAAAACCTGCGAGAGGAGCTAGAGGAAGTATCTAAAATCAGACAGCATGTGTTGGAGGTAACAAGACCGCTATTCGGAACAAATAGGGTTGTCAACATGGACAACTATTATACGTCCGTGCAGCTTCTCCAGGAGCTCCGACTGAAAGGCCTCTATGGTCGCGGCACTATCCATGCCAACAGCAAGCATTTCCCAGGCCACACTATTCTTCACAAAGACGACTGTACCCGAGGGGACTATCGCCAAGCTGTCTCGCACGATCACAGCATGCTTGCAGCGTCATGGCGCGACGGTAACGTGGTCAACCTTGTGTCCAATGCGGACTCAACGAACATTACAAATATCACTCTCATGGTTGGTAACGAGAAGCAGTCGTTTCCTGCTCCAGAGTGCGTCGCTCAGTATAATACCAACATGCAAGGTGTTGATCGCCTTGATCAAATACGCGGACGATTCTCTACTGCAGATGGTCACTTGTACAAACGCTGGCACAAGAAGTTGGCGCTCGCGCTCATTGATGTGGCGCGCTCCAACGCGTATCTTACGCGACGTTTGGTACAGGCGGAGCCAGTAACGCGCGATCCTCATAGAAAGTTTGTGATGGAGCTAGTTGGTGAACTTCTCAATGGACAATGGAAGAATGCACCCAGCGACGGTCGCATGCTGTACAGCGGAAATTTGGGTGACGAAGGAGAAGGAGGCCAACTCGACACGCCCTCTTTCCAGCCCTCTCCTAGTGTAGTTGTTGTGCTCCCGACAACTGCTTGTAGTTCCGTGGCTTCGAGGCAAATTCATGCCGAGAAGAGCAGAAAGCGGCGCCGCTGTATTGTTTGCCGATGGGAGGGACGATATCCTACCGAGGTAACCAACTATTGCCTCACGTATGGTGTCTGTTTGTGCCGAGTTGTGCACGACCGCCCCGCCAAGCCATGGATGTGTCCGTCGACGACATCAACATGCTGGGATAAGTTCCATCAATTCTACTACCCTAACGCATTGTTTAAAGATAAGGGAAATGTCAGGCGACACTCCAAACTGGCCAAGTTGAAGGATGCGCACGAACCCAGGTCTCAAGCAGTAAGGCGGCCTGCTACTGCTTGCCAAATTGCGTACGGGGCAGATCTCGGAGGTGCCATCGATCACGCACTTGACAACGAAGGAAATGGTGATACACAGGGTCTTGCTGCTTTCGGGGTTGGCGGTAATGCTCCGCCTAGGTTGGTTGCGTTTGGCAGTGGCAATCTTTCGACTGGGCTAGTTGCGCCTGGACCAGACGGTGACAGTCGTTTGGACAATAGGCCTGGAAGTGTGGTAGCAAGCAAACTTAGTGGTGTCTGTCGTGATGTTCGCGAAATTTGATGCACTAGTGAACGTCGTGGTGAAGCCCGGCTACGTGGCCGTGGTGCCGTTCTCACAGACGGTGACAACACACACGGACTTGATGGTGGCGGCGGCGCTCGCAGACTTGCCAACGACGACGAGCGCGGACTTGGCCGTGACGACGCGCGCAGACTTGGAGACGGGGAGGGGGGGGGGGCTCGGACTTGGTGGTGCCGCTGGCGCAGCCGGTGTCGGCGGCGCACGCAGCCTTGGTGGACCTCGCGGAGTCGGTGGCAGTCGGGCTTTAAATGAAGCTGCTTGCACAGATAGCGAAGATGGGCGCGAGCTTGGTGATGTAGCTGGACCTGGTGGTGCAGCACATACAGTTGGTAGCCGCAGCGTTCGCCAACTTGTCAGCAACGACGCGCGAGGACATGGAGGTGGTGATGATCGCAGACTTGGTGATGGCGGCCGCGGACTTAGTGGTGCGGCTGGCATAGTCAGTGACGGCGACGCTCATGCACTCGGCGGTGGTCACGGAATCACCGGTGACTCGCATGACGTATGGGCTACTGTTACACTCGGGCGTGATGATACTGCACCCAGCCGGGTTGCTGCTGCCGCATGCAGTTTGGGTTGCGAAGCTGCATTCGCTCTTGGTAACGGCACTCATGAGCAGCGCGAAGACTCTGATTAGAAGCAAGTATGAGATAGCAGAATGGATCAAAGTTTCTTACGGTATATGTCAATGGCATGAGGTGTAGCCTTCCAGCTACATTGTACTTCTAGTTGATGATCCAGTTTCCAACTCTTGCAGTACGGCTCCGAGCACGATGATCGATGTCTAGGGCAGAAGAGCGACGTTGAAACTATCATGGCATTGCGCTGAGCTCTCGTGAAACGATCAACTTAGCATCTTCGTCAAATAGAAAGATGTTAGCAAAGACAATGGTGGCTTCGCAAATGGGAGAATGCCTCGACATAGAAACATCTCTAACATCTAGCAACTTGAGCATTACCTTATCCAGTCGCGGCTGAATCTTGAGCTGCTGGTGCAAACAGCGCTGACCGAGCGAGACAAGGACGCGTCGAAATTCGATACCAACGCAAAGTCGAGCGTCCGTTGTAAGAGCGAC